CAACATAATGGTGAGGGGGGCCTGTACAAAAGTCTTCAAATCAACCATCTTTATTTTGTTGTTGAGTTGGGAATTGTAAGCTCCATCATGATAAAAGGTGGATAGAAGTTGCTCAAAATAATTTGAAAAAAATATATTTGACACCTCAGAATACTCAACAGGAATGGATGAAAAATGACAATTCAAAACACCAATCACAGCTAGAATAAGGCTAATGGTGACAATGAGATGTTGTGATGAATTTTATAAGGCTTTATCACTAAGACCCTAATATTTTACCACAAATTATATTTTAATTCATTGATTAAAAAAATTTGACCAAACTATGAATTTGATTTCTACTATTTTGGATGCATGGTCATTACAGTTTTGAATTAAGTTACTAGCATAATGGATCTAGTTATTCAAATCTGAATATGGATTCAATTATTTTTTGCAATTAAACTTGAATAACAAAATCCATTAATTCAATACCACATTCAAAACTAAAATAACTAGATCCATTATGTTAACAACCACATTCAAAATAGTGTACAAGGTTCATAGTTGAACCAAAAAAATACTCAACAATATTTTTTAGAAATAATAGGACCTTAAGTATAGTTCACAAAAATTTAGATCTACCAAAATTATTACAACATTTACTATCTAAATCATCCAAAATAACTCTAACACTTGCTTATGTCTAGTGAGAAGAAATAATCAAAGAAAAAACATAAAATATACCTTAAAATAGAAATCTATGGTTGAAAATTTGAAGTCGGCGGTCGGTTTGGGGTCGGACTGGGTCAGCGAGGTTGGACGTCAGAGTGCCAGTCGGATCTGGGTCGGAGAAGTTTCGTCGGCGGCGGTCGAAGAACCTTCGTCGGTCGCGGTCGCGGTCGGAAAAGCAGAGGCGAGCGGAGGTGAGGGAAACGAGAGAGAAAGAACGTGAGAAAGAATGAAATGTGAGTTGCGGGCTTGGTCGTTTTAGGGCACTAACCGGCGGTCTAAACTGCCGGTACAAAATCACTTATCAACGGCGGTCTGGCCGCCGTTAAACCGCCGGTGAATAATATAATCCGGCGGTTTTTGGACCGCCGTTAATACCGGCGGTTTAACGTATAAAAAACACCGGTAGACCGCCGTTAAACGACGGCGGTTTAACCCCCGGCTAGACCGCTGGTAACACCGATGGTCCATAAACCGCCGGTTTGAACCGCCGGTAATAGCCATTTTTCCTGTAGTGATTTGGCAAATAAAATTCTTCTTTATTTGCTAATTTTTAAATGTATTTCTACACTTGATGTGGAAATAATAATAAATAGGTTATATGTATAAATCATGTATAAGCATGTTAATCTTATATATAACAATATAATTTTGGGGATTTTACATACATAACACTTAAAATTGCTCTATTTACTTATCTAACATCCAAACTTTACTATTTACTATTTTACCACCTAAAACACGACTAGATTACCTAAATTATCACTCCCGTTACCTTCCGTTACAACCTTCACCCCTTCCAAAGAGAACGTCCCGATCGAGCAATTCCACGTCGCCACGCCTGCCGTCTTCTCCATGCCGACCTCCGGTTGTCTTCTCCAGGCCATCTGAATACATCCCAACCAATCCGAACTATTGTCCACGGCTCCACGCTGGTTATCTCTCAATGCCGATTCAAAAATTAGGTGCTCACGTTGCCCATGCTGGTCGTATTCTCTAAGCTACCCATGACGATGGTTTTTTTTATTTTGCTGCTACTTGTTTCCCCTTAACAAATTCATAAATGCAGCTTTTTTGATTCACAAATGCAGCCTAAACCTTTAAGTTTTGATCTCGCTCATGTTCTGAACTCTCAAAAGTTGCTTCTTCCTAAAATTAGTGTACTAGATTTAGATCTCGCTATTGCAAATAATTGCTACCACTACAAAATCTAGGATAATAATATGAATCTAAGTATGCTTCATTTGAAACAAGTCTCCATTTCTTTCTCTAAACATTTTATCTTCAAGTTTTGAAATCAAAAAGGTATAAAGGAAAACAAATATAGCACAAGCAGGTTCTTTTGAAATTTGTTTGATCACTCAGCCGATTACCTTCTTGAAACCCCATTCAAATTTATTAGGTGTATAGAAAAATATTGTTAAATGCAGCTTCGTTTTTATACAGGCCGAACCAATGGATGAGCAAGCTTCATCTGCAACTTCGTTTTTAGCACATCATTTATGAATCTGGGAATCGAGTTTTTGTACAGTCCGAACAAGGAAAACGAGATTGTGAAATGGAGAAAAACATGCCTAGCCGAACAAATAGATAAGCCGACCAAGCGAGGTGATGAAGGCGAAGCAGAAGTTTCAGAAAGATAGGGTCGAGGTTTGCGTATGACGGGAGGAAGATAGGGTCGGGGTTTGCCTATGACGGGAGGTAACGGAGTGTTAGTTCTGATGAGGGCAAGCTTTTTCAAGTGTGTTAGGAACTTTTATTTGGTTCGGTGTAAGGATGCAGAGGAACATTCGGTCGTAGGCAAAATCGCACTTATACCACTCGGTACACCTCGGTATAAGCGTGATTTTGCCTACGACCGAATGTTCCTCTGCATCCGGTCGGAGGATGTAATAATTATTCGTGTGTTAGATAAGCAAATAGTGATGTTTTGGTGATAGATAAATAAATATAGTAGTTTTAAATGTTAGGTATGTAATTTAAAAACTTTTGTCATGTGCACCATATGCATTTGTATTTATACTAGTAAATAAAAAATGCTATATAAGCAATACAAATTCAAAAGAAAGCAATGATGTGGGACTAAATAATTAAATTAAAGCATAAGCTGTATATTTTTTTATAATATAATTTTAATTCATTTTTTTAATGTAAATAATATTTATTTATAAATGAATAATATTTAATTTGTATATATTTAGTTATTTAGTTACACAATATTTAAAAAATATTTTTATTTAATTATAAATAATTTAGCATGAATTTATAGATGCAATTTGTAATTTTATAATTTGAATTTAGTTTATAATATATAAGTATAAAATATGCCTAATTATACCACATAAATTAGTAATAATTAATATAAAATTTATACATTTATAGATGTAATTTTATAATGATGTGAATTTTGTATTTAATCTTTAAATATAAATTATGCCTAAACATATAACATAAATAAATCTTTATTTATATTAAACTTATAAACTGTATGTAAATTAAATTAAATTAAATATGAATTAAAATTTATGATTGGGGATATTTAAATTTAAACTTATAGAATACATTATTTATGTATGAATTTTATATATTGTTTAGTCATAAATTTATTTTATTTCATAATTATTACAATATCATATTGTTATTTAAACATCATTTAAATAATTTTAATAGTTATTATGTAATCTGGTTTGACTTCAATTCGAACCCTGTTCAACCGTTTCACATTTTAATAATATAGAAAGAAAAGAAAAAAAAACAACAACAAATATAATAATTTTTAATCATTTTTTATGTTAAATTGAGAGTTTTATGCTCATAGAGACACAAAAAATAATAGTACTTAAAAATGTAATTTCATGAGACAGAATTATTTAGAATCAGTCCTCAGTTAATTCGAATTTTAAAGCATTATTGTATCTTTATACGTACGAAACAAACTTGAATTACAATATAGAATTAGATTCATTCAATGTTCGAATAAGGGCGGAGCTTGTTAAAAAATATAGTATATTATAGCAAAATATAAACACAATAGCTATAACATAATAGATTATAAAACAAATATAATGCATTGTTAATCATAAAATAAATGCAAAATGCAGAACAATAAAATTTAACTTTGCTCCAATTTCATCGGACGTATAATCTAAACTTGATCAATCTAATTGAAAGTTGTTTGAATAATGTTGCATCATTAATTAGAACTTTAAGAATCTTAATCGAATCATCTTTGAATTATGATCTAAGCTTCTTTGATTGTTGTTCAATCCTATTTCATGTATATTTCTCTAATTTCATGTATTATAGGACTATAAATTAAATTTATCTCTATATATAAATAAAATAATAATCTTTATTTTAGACTTTGTTAAGAATTAATTCATTTATTATCTTTAAAATATAAAAATTAAAAATATGCTTTCAATATTTTTTAGTGATAATATATTTGATTAAAGATGTATAATAGCGTCAAATCTCACACAATATATAAATGGCAGGTAAAAGAATAAGCTTAATATATTCTACGATATTCCTACAATACTGATCTCATAACATCTAGCATAAAATTTAGTAAGTTCATCATAAATTCTCTCTTTTTTTCTCCTCTCTTTTTTATTCTCCAATCTTCTTTATTAATAGGTATCTTATAATTTTCAAATTTTAAGTTCACTTGTGATTCAACTTGAATGAGATAGATTTAGCCTTCGTTTGAGATGACTTTTGCTGCTTTTTAAAGCAGCTTTCTATTATAAAAAAATTTAATATTTATACTAAATAATTATTTTAAGAGGCAGTAAGAAAGTTGTCCCAAATAAAACCTTAGATTTTGTTTGGGACGACTTTCTTATCACTTTTTAAAACAACTTTTTAGTATAAAATTTTTAATTTTTTATTAAAATGCTATTTTAAGAAGAATAAAAAAATCGTCCAAAACGAAACCTTAATCATAAAAATAATCATCATTTTGACATGCTTTGAACACACTTTAGATTTATTAATTATTGTCATATATATTTGTATGTGACACTAAAATCTTATTAACAAATATGAACTAATTTCAAGTGAGAAAGAAGAGAGCTAACGAGAAAAGCTCGTGATAATTCTAAATTAATGTCAAAAAATATAGCTCAATCTCAACATATTATAAAGGTTATAGACCTATCCTCTAACCTCATGCTTATAGATTTAGATCAAAATTCAGTGTGAAGTCATGATTCAGAGTCCAGAAAATAACTTAGTTTTTCAAAAATTGAATTAGAAAACTTTCATCTAATTCTTAGAGAACAAAATAAAAACCAGACTGTAAATTTCTCTTACCACACAGATCAAGTTGGAATTCTGCACAACAATTGTAACGTAATGATCCTCCACTTATTAAAAAGAACAGCACTCCACATAAAAAATGGAAATTTAAAAATACAAGTAGCCGTTACATTTCTGAAGAAAACTGGAGATTCAAGAAGACAAGCAAGCAAAAGATACTGCAGTTCATTTATGCTCATCTTTTAATGTGACCAGGGACTTGAGAATGCCAGGATTAATCTTATCTGCAAGAGCTCCTCTTTCAGATAAGGTGAAGGATTTCTCCTTCACATAACTCTGCAGTGTCTTGGTGTTGTAATCTAGTCTTTCTTGATCTGCAACTCAGAAAAACAGAAAAATTAATCTCATTTTTCTTTTAACTGGATAAATTGGCCAATTTTAGATGAAGTGGAAAAATTGGTAGTAACAAGAAATCAAAAAGGTAAAATTCTTTCATATAACTCTCACTGACATCTCAGTATGGATACGAAGGGAAATTTTAACACTAAAGCTGAAATCAATTCCAACAAGAAGTTAGTGTAACATCGCAAGAACCTAGCAGTAACTTCTCTCTATTGAGGACATTAATGCATTAGTAAGATAGAACAAACAACTTCATAGGAATCAAATAAAAACAATGCAAAATAAATCACTTTATCCTCCATTAATATAAACTTTTTATTAGCTTACGAAGTACCTTTTTCTAAAATTGTGTGAACTGCATGAAAAGGCATGCGAGCAAAAATGTCAGAACCCGGTAACATAATCCAGGTATGTTGCTTGGGGTCATGATCTCCACATGTTGGGCAAATTTCTTTCACTAAAGGTCTTGAATCTGCTCCAGATAGCTCTTCCATAATTTTATCAAAAGGAGATGGAACACTGGATTTTGTTGTGCGAGCAATCTTGCGGAGTGCAGTTAAGGCTTCTCTATTCCCGTTTCTTAGCTTGTCATTTTCAACAAGCTGTTTGAAACCAGTAAATAATCAGATTGTAAACAAATAGCCTCACAGTATCCATAATGTCATATTATTGCACAAAGAATTTTGCCTCCAACCTGGTTTCGAGCTAGAAGGAGATGCTCAGCATCTGTTTCGCTCTCAATAAGAGCCTGCTGCATGTGCTTCATTCCCACATCCATCTCCATTGCCTGTAAAAAACTCAACTAAGCAACTTAAAAACACTTTCTCAGATCATGCTTAATTCTAGCAGCATATCCACGGGAAGAACAAAAAGGGGGAAAAGGAGGATAAAGAAGACACAGGATTTCCTAAATTTACAAACATAACTTCTTATGAGATGAGGCATAAACGTTGGCCAAATTATGGTATCATTAGCTTAATTAAAACAGAATGTTATCAAGTTAGAGCCTCACTGAGCATTTCCTGATTTAGAAAAAGAGGCTAAAATTTAATCATCTTCATCTGATCGTAATTCAAAAAGTTCATAATACAAAAACTCAAAAGTATTAAGGAGTGCTTTCCTTTTTGGTGCTTGTCAATATCTTAAATTTGACAAGCTAATCAATATGATGCTTTACATCAAAAGATTATAACTTCTAGAAGACCAGCGATTTAAGTTCAATAAGTTAATTATTATGTTATACAAGCATTTTTATGCTCAATACAATTACAAACCTAAAATAAACATAGTAATTAAATTTGCTTGTACATGTCAGCAGCCTTCGACCACAAATAGTTGTATTACATACAATTATGTTTGCAATTAGTTGATCCGCATATTATCTTCATGATCAATGTCATTAACTCTGCCATTTATATTGCAGATATCTTGGGTTAAAAACTTCACAACATTTTCATGATATATATGATAAGATATCACAAAATTCAACTCGAGATGATCATGGGAGCTCATTCTTTCAATAGTATTTGAACTTAATTTAGGGTTAAAAACAAGATTTTTAGGCAAAATTACATGATGTTGATGATGGATGGTTCTGATTTTGATTTGAAATTCCAAAAACAATAGAGTAAAAAAATTTTCAGTCGGCAATAGCAATTCCTTAAATTTTCATTATAAATTTTTTTATGCTGCACTCTGTAATTTTTTATGAATAATCCATCACAGATCTTCCATAATGTTATTGGCAGGCTGAGAAAATTAAGTTTACTATACTTACGAAATGTTTACACACTTTCTAATTTGTGATGGGTAATCATCACAAATCATCCATGATGCTATTGATAGACAGAGAAAATTAAGGTGCCAAGGATTTTCATCAATGAACGGCTCATTTAAAAAATAGCATTTAGTGCTCTTTTATAGTTAACACATTTAATTATCAAATATTTTAAATTTCGGTGCTTTTGATGGGACTCACTGAGTTATGCCAACATAAGGGAGAATTCTGAGGTATTTTGATTTCACATTGTTTGATTTTAGGATTGGTTAGTTATTTCCTTGGTTTGTTCCTATTTGGATAAAAAATAGTCAAATCGGCCAATATTGGTTGCATAATTCAAGCATGGCTCAGCTGACTCCACAATTGAAGCCTCTTAAAAAAAAAATTAATGCTATTTTGACTCATCATTTTGGGGAATGACTCCTTCCATGATTTTGTGTGATCTATTTGATTAGTTCCATGGAGAATATTCCTTTATGCTCTAATTCTAGTTATCTTCTGAAAGCTTCTTGAAGCTTCTAGAATGTTATGTATGGTTCCAAAAATTCTAAAAAGTTTTAATGAAATCCTCTAAAGAGAGTAAAAATAATAGAATTTTGTGTATTTCATTGGAGAACTTGCTCCCGTATTTATACATCAATTCCAGGTTACTTTTGGTAACTTCTAATAGAAACCACTAATTACATTGGAACCAAAAATGATACTCTCTAGCTCGCATATACTTATTTCAATGAAAATCTAAGACAGATTTTTACCCCTTAAAGATGCGTGCAAATTCCCAACTTGTCTATAATGAGAAATCGCTAGCTTTGCAATCCCATGAATGGCCAAGCTGACCTTGAAAATGACTAATGCTCCTCAAACAATAAAATAGTTATTATTCATGCCTAACATGGATGTGATATTCTAAACTGAAGAATTTGATAATCCTTTGATTAGGATGCCAGCCCAACTAGTTGTGTTTGGACATATGGGATGCATATGAGTTCACTTCTTAGTTTTTCTCTGATAATATGCCAATCAATTTCTGTGTTTGATCATGCTGAACCATATTTTTTGCAAAGTTAATGACTAATTTATTGTCACAATATAACTTTATTATTATTTTAAAAATCATTTCAGTGGCACATAGAATTGAGGCGCACAAAGAGCATCTCGAGGCTTAAGTCTCACCGGTTCTAGTGAGGCTAAAGTCTTTTCTAAATGAGGCATACAACATGATGTATTTTGAGGCATACCTCATTTGTATTTAATTTCATTAATATTTTTTTATGTATTATTATTATTATTATTATTATTATTATATATTTATTATATTACATTATATATTCTACTAAATTGAGAGCAGCTACTACTTCGCAATAATTTAAAAGAAGAAAAGTGGGGCTAAAATTTTATGAAAATCAAAAGGTAATTTAAGTATATTAATTTTTTGTTTTACTTTATATTATATTTAATGCAATGTTAACTACTATAGATAATAAAAGAAATATTATAATTGAAGATGATAAGAGACAGAATCTGAGGATAATAGAAGTATTACATAATAAAGACTCTTTTGAAGAATATGCAAGTGAAGATGAGATCATGGTTTAAAATTGCGCAATATGAGGTTAGCCTTGAGGCCCGCCTTTACGCAATTCCAGTAAAAAACGCCTCGATGCTTATGCCTCGAATTTTTTTTTTGAGGCTCGCCTTGAGGCCCGCCTCGCCTCACTGGCATAAGGCTTACGCCTCACGCTACATATATTAAAACTTAAATAAATCTTGAAGTAAATGCCCGACATTAGACTCTATAGGAGAGGAGAAAGGGGAGAGAGCAGTTCATCATAAAGATGATTCAAATGAAGAACCCCTTAGGGATGACAGTGCTGATGACTTTTGAGTTCTTATGTGATATGTCATTGCTATTTATTTTTGGAAATTTGAATTATATGTTAATGAAAAGAATACTGAGATTTGGGAAAGATAAAATTTTGGGTTGAACTATATTTCATGTTGTCTTATTATTGGGATATTTTGATTTTAGTTCATATCTTATGCTTTTTTATGTTTTATATTATTCATTCATTAGTATATAAAAAATTTATCATTTCATATTTACGCAATATTTTGATTTTGAGGCTTACGCCTTGAAGCTTACGCCTCGCCTCATGAATGAAAAACGCCACAATACCCGAATACGCAATTTTAAACATTGGATGAGATAGCCGTGGATATTGATATTAATCCTCGTGGCACATTTAAATTGTAAGTGAGTGTTTAATTTGAATCTCATTTTAAATTTTTGTGTTATAATAAATTTAATATTGATATTTGTAGTTTATATCTTTATGATGATGAATCAAATAAATATGTTGGGGGCTTATTTCATTTTTATCATTTTTATGAATTATTTGTAATTTTTTTAGTTTTTTTTTTTATGCTTACACCTCACCTTACTAAGTCAAAATACCTTGATTCCTGATTTCACCTTTTTAAACTTTAAACTTTATAGAATCTACTTATTTTATTCCTAAATCACCTAGGATAATTTCAATTCACAATAGTTCACAGATTCTTAATCCATTAGCCAAAATTCAACTTCATCAGTAGATTTGACGACAAATCATTGCTACTTGCTAATCCAATTGATTAGATTTTTACCTAGAAAAGTGCAATTACTAGTAGTGGACCATCTGTTGATGGGTGCTCCTATCCAATCAACATCGATATATGCTTCTAAGCCGAGTTTTCTATTTTATCTGAATAAGATTTCCTTTTCCCGATTGTTTTAGGTATTGAAAAGTCTTGTCCGTAGCCTGTAAATGTGTTTCTACAGGATTAAGCATAATTTTACTTAAAACAATACAACATAAGCTATGTTCAGTCTTGTGCAGGTAAGATATATAAGTTTCCTAATCAAACCTTGGTATGTCCCTTTATCAACTTATGGGTTATCATATTGCTTCTTCGAGTTTATGGCAATAGTTAACAGAATTTTTTAGGGCTTGCATCCCATTATAGTTATTTCATTTAGTAGATCTATAATTGTTAAATTTAGATAATCGGAGAGGAAAAAAGCTTATACAAAATTATTCCTATTTATAGATCTATACAAGATGTCTTAATAAAGAAACAAATAACTATATAATCATGCATAATTGCCTTAATATAATCCTTCCTAAATCAGTCACCCAAATATAGAAGGAGATCGACGTGATCAAGGTGAGCCTCCCACAGATTCCCATGCTGGTCGTGGGATCAAGGGCCAAGGGACTGCTGGGATTTAACACTCTCACAGGCTAAGGAATACATATATGTCATTCTCAACTTGGTAATTAATCACAGAAAAGCATATTTACCAAGTCCCTTGATAAGAATGTCTACAGCATCGGTTTCATCCTTTTCTTGCACCCCATGCACCTTGGTTTCACCTTCAACAAACTCCCACTGCTCTTTCTTTAGGAGTAGCACATCTACATCACCATCATACAAAATTTTACATATTCTTGTACTTTGATCAAAAGAATCAACAATGTCATCATAAAACCTCTGATCATCTGGCCACCAAATTTTTATTTTTAAACCAACAATTGTGTCATCTAATCCTTTCCTACACTTCCGTGGTCCAAAAGCCTCTTGTACGCCCTGAGCATGCTTCCATCTTGATTTTGTTTTATCAATATCTGTGACACGATTATGATCTTTAACCAAATTTTCAATGTAGACTTTTGGAGGAGAGAACTTCCTTTAATTTCAATTCTTTGTCTTCAGCCTCAGCATGCTCAACTCCTTTCTACTTCTTAATGCCACATGTTTGCTTGTTTTTCAAGAATACTTTTCTTTGAGATCCATTTCTACCTCCATTACTTAGAAATATTTTGTCAAAATTAGTCTTTGCTTTTTTCTTATTATTAACTCCATAATAATCATTGCTAATTGACAACTGCATTGAAGCATTACTTCCTTCTTTGCGAGAACTTAGATTTGATCTTCTATCAGGCTTAGTTGTACCTAAATTCAAG